ACCCAGGAGGTCCCCCCAGCAGCTCACTGTGCACCCCGTCCCCGCCGCCCCCAGATCTGCTTCCTGATGGCCGTCAACGTGATTGGGCAGCGCATGAATTTCATGGTCATCCTGCACGGCTGCTGGCTGGTAGCCATTCTTACCCGCCGGCACCGCGGAGCCATCGCCCGCCTCTGGCCCAACTACTGTCTGTTCCTGGCGTTGTTCTTCCTGTACCAGTACCTGCTGTGCCTGGGCATCCCCCCGGCCCTGTGCCTTGGTGAGCCGGCGACACATGGGCAAGCTGCGAGGGTGCTTCCCCCCGCCCAGGGCCTCCCCTGCCCCCTTCCTCGGACCCTGATGGCTGCAGCATCCCTGGGGGGGTGGGGCGCTGGCCAGCCTCTCGACGCTTTGCATCCATTCCCTTTCTTTCCCCCACATTCTATTTTGAAACATTTGGAACGATCAGAAAAGGTGGAGGTAGAGAGCAGAGAGCAGCCAGACCCCGCACCCTGGGGCAGGGGCCACGCTCCACAGTCCCTCCCGCACAAGCCTGGCTTTGGCCTCATCCTCCGGGGGTGGCCCTGGTGGCTTTTGGGTCCGATACAGGACCCCGCGTCTGCCCTCGGCTGCGCTCTGCTCTCGCGCCCTCTGGTCTGGGCGAGGTTTCGGGAGGGGGGGGCCGGTGGGCCGAAGCCGCGTTTGTCGGGCGGTTCCTGCTTTGGCAGGTGTGGCTGTGTCCTGTCCTGGGAGTGCACTTGTCCGCGTGGCCCTTCCGTGTCTGCGGCCCATGTGGTGTCGCGTCCGCCCACTCCGGAGTGCGCCGCGGGCGGGACCCGTAGGACCGATGTTGTCCCTTGATCCTGGTGCGCTGGTCACGTGGCTTTCTCTCACGTGTTCCTCGGCCGACCGCGGGCCCCGGGACGTCTTCCACCACCACGGCGGCTCCCAGTTGGCCCCCGGAGCCCCTGAAGCCGCTCTGAGGCTTGAGCCGCGGTTGTGTGGGTGGTGACGGTGGGGGAAGGCCGTGGGCCGGATCCTTGCCCTGCGCGGCCACCACCGACCTGACCGCTCCTGACTCTGGCTTTTCCAGAATGTCTTGGAAACCAACCACAGGGCGCGTTACCAAACGCATTCCAGGTTCTCGCCGTCCTCGTCTCCGCCTTGTCGCCTGTTTTGTGTGCTGGCTTCTGACTTTGGACGCAGACTTGCAAAAGTAGCTCCCTGACGTGAGCCTGACGCAACCCTGACGCAACCCAGTGCGGGAGCTCAGGTGTGCGCGCTGGTGCGGCTCTGGCCGCGGCCCCGTGCGTGCGCCCGTGTGTCGGTGCCGGGCAGCTCCCCGCGTCTTCGCCTTTCAGCACCTTGGAACTTTTGAGGGGTGCTGGGCTGTGACCCTGTGGGTAGTCTGCTGTCCTTGTGAGACCGGGTGACAGGTCCCTCTGGCGGCTGGGACGTGTGGGTCTCTGTGCCTCACACGGGGCCAGTGTCTCCTGTCCGGTGCCGTTCTGTCACTCGGGTGCAGGGCTGGCTGTGGGGTGTCTCCCCCGAGACTCGGCACACGGCCTGTTTCTCCTGGACCTTTCTGGCTAACTGCAGCCTCCGCGGCGGGTCCCGCTGTGGGAATTTCTCTCGGTTTTCTAGTGGTGGCTTTCTGTGTCTCAGAGTTATGGGTGGGCATCTTCCGTAAAGATTTCCGTCCCACTCATTTGTTGAGTTGCGAATTTATATCCTTATGGGCTCTGGACGCTGCTGTTTTCGGTTCCACTCGAGGCCTGGCGTCCTCTTCTCGCTGGTCCGTGTGGGCACCGCATTTGCCCTGGGAGTCCCCGCCCCCAGCGTCCTCTCCCTGTTCCCCCCCCATCCTCTCCCCACCCTAGCTGTTCCCGCCCCCGGAGTCCTCTCCCCACCCCCAGCCTGTCCCCACCCCATAGAGTGCTCTCCCGGCGCCCCCCCCAGGCTTCTCCACCCTGCGGTCCTGCGGGCCCTTTGCAGTCCCGATGTCCGTCCCAATGCTGAACTAGGACCACACCCCATGTCGCCGGGGGCTGGCTTGTTTTGCTTGGCGAACGTGCTGGGTGCGGTACTTCCTGGTCCTCTCTGCCCGCTGAGGACTGGCCGTGCCCTGCACGAGCCCATCTCCCCTCCGGCCCCTGGAAGGCAGCTGGTTTCTCACGTGGGGCTCTCTGGAGTAGCGGGGCCAGGAGCGTCGGGGTGCAGGGCTGTGTCTGGGCATAGTTCTCACTTCGCGGAATTGACCGCACGGTGTGGTTCCGGTGTTCGTTCCCGCCGGTGACGCACGCGGGACCGCTGTCGTCGCTGAGTTTGTCCGGGCCGTTCTGATAGGTGTGTGTGGGAGCCTCGCTCTGGGCCCTCTGGGTCCGCCGCCCCTGAAGGCCCGTTACTCCCAGGCTGGGGTTCACTTCTTCCTCTGGGCCCGGGGCCGTCTGTGCCTGAGAAATGCATAGGTAGGAACACGCTGGAATCTCGCTCCCGAGACTCCAAGAGACCGTGTGAACACGCGGGCAGGTGCAGGGATGAGGCCTGTGGGCGGGGACTGGACACCGGGGTCCTGACGTGCACCCTGCGCCCACAGACTACCCGTGGCGGTGGAGCCAGGCCATCCCCATGAACTCCGCGCTCATCAAGTGGCTGTACCTGCCCGACTTCTTCAGAACCCCCAACTCCACCAACCTCATCAGTGAGCGCCTGCGGCCGGGCCCCAGAGGGCGGGGAGGTTTTGCCAGGGGGACAGGCGGCGCTCAG